GCCACTGCACTCCAGTCTGGGCGACAGAGGGAGACTCCAACTCAAAAAAAAAAAAAAGATTTCTGAATGACAGGCAACTTTGTTCTAAAGGGACTCTTGGAACCCACCCAGTCCTAAGGATAAGAAGGATGCTCCCTTGTCCTAAGGATGGTGAGGGACCACATAGGGCAGAGCTATGCACAGGCAGGCAGAGCAGGCGGAAAGTTTTTGTTAACAGTGACTGGCATCGTCAGAACTCTTTATGAAGAGTCCTGCAAAGCATGTTTGGGAGTTTGTTTTTAAATGGCTAGAAAAAAAGCATAGCAGAAGTATGCCTCTTCTTAACATAAATGAGATAATTCTGGCAAATGTCCAAACACAACAACACAAAACTAGAAGCAAGAAACTTCACAGGAAACTGATGAGGAAGACAAATTTTATAGGAAACTGAAAAACAAATGAGCAGAGCGAGGTATGTTTGTGGTAAAGGACATAACACACAATATATCTTCAAGTGTTCTCATGAACATTATGACCTATCAAATATTATCTAACAAAAATGAACTCATCTGAGGAGCAGCAGCGTGAAAATATTCCATTGCTGTCCAACAGAATTTGATGGAAGTGTTCCATATCTTTGTGCTAATACAGAATCTACCAGCCACACAAATACTCAAAATGTGGCTAATGCAATGTGGGAAATACATTTTTAATATAATTTAAACAGCCATGTGACTAGTGGCTCCTGATTGAATGATGAAGTTCTAATGCCTCAGGGGTCAAAACCAGTGGTTTCTTTCAGGGACTTCTCTAATCACTGCTAAAGGACTCAGGGTTAGATGTGGAAAAAGGAAAGCTCTCAACAGATTTGCTCACTTAAACAAAATCCGAAATTCCTCACTGGTTCTGGAGGCAAGGGACAGCATGATCCACTGTGAGGGGCATGAGGGAAGGACTCCTGGGAAGACCTCAGTATGTGCTTCCAACTCCGGCTAATGTCAGTGGGAGGAAAAGGTCTAGGATTTTGGTCATTCACATGGGAAGAGGCCTACAGTTCCACACAGGAAATCTGAGGTTGGGGCTTCCCTGGGCCATCTGGAAATGGACATTGCCATAGTGGAGCTGGAGGTCAGGTGCTCATTTCCGGATGGGGTTTCCAGAGCCAGAGGACTTAGAAGTGTTGGGACCTGAGGGCCCTTTCTGGCCACCTGCAGGCTGCATGGGTCCTTTCTTTTTTGGGATTAAGGGCTTGTTCTTGCTCTTAAACACTTTGCTGGGATCCAGTTTATTCACAAAAGAGTCGCTTTCTTCTGTAAGCAGGTTTGTGTTGTAGGTGATGGGTTTATACATGTTGAACCATTGCTGTAAGGCAGAAGTGGGAGAGAGAGTCACAATTCACAGGAGAAATGCCATTCTTTGTGCTCTTTAGTAGGGATGTAGAGGTAGAGAGCTGGGACAGGAGGCAGAGAGAGAAGAAAGTGCATGTTTTTATGAAAAACCACCTCAAGAATCTACTTGCTCTTCCTTGCAGTGACGGAAGATCCCATAACCTCTGGTAAGACACACACATTGCTTTCTAAGGTCACATGGCCTTTAAGACAAATGCAGTATATGAACTAAGAATCTGAGTACACTTCCTTCCTTCTAAGCTAGTGAGCCCTGAGCCTGGAGCGCTAGTCTCAAGTCACCAGGGGTCAGTGACTAATTATTCTGCTATTCTCCTTCAGGTGGAGTCTGGCAGCACCATTCCCAGGAGAAGGACATGACAGGCCGGTGTGGGCCTCTGCTGCAAGATGCTGCATGTGCTGATGTTCTGTCCCCTGCTGGCTTTCAAGGCAGCTGAGGGCAAAGGACATCCACATTTATTGACTTTTCACTGATCACAGTCTCACAATATTGAGTATGATGGGTATCATCATGATACACCATGTGAGGCAAACAAAGCCCATTAGATGAAAACACAGGTGGCAGAGCTGGAGCAGAGTCCCTCCTTCACTGCTGATTAGGTGCTGCGAGAGACCACCATGAAGGAGCCCAGACCAGCTCACTCCAGTCAGAAGTTCTTCAGCCACACTTGATGTTTGCAAACCAGGTTGTATATCAGGTTGCATACCTGGCATCTGTACGTCTGAATGGTGACCTGACCTGTAATAGAAATGAGGCTTGTCCATACAACTGAACACTCTGTAGCCACTGAAAAGGACAAGGCAGCTCGAATATACCGAAAGGGAATGAGCCCCGAGAATGTTAAGTGAAAAGAACAGGCGTGGAACAATGTGGATGGTATATTACACTTGATTTAGAGGAAAGAAACCGAAAAATGTTGGCATGCATGCTTTATGAGCAATGACTATCTTCAGAAGGGCCCACAAGAAACTGTTAATGGTGGCCACCCTTTGAAGAAGTATGCTGGGCACACAGGGAAAGAGACAGACTTTTCTCTCTTCCTATGTGCCTGTATTGCCAATCCAAAACAACAAACATAAGCCTCCCCAACATAATTTAATTAAAAATAAAAACTCCCTAGGTAATTCTGGGGAGAAGCTAAGTTTGGGAACCATTTAATTAGATCAGTATAAAGTGAGGTTTTCTACCCACACTGGAACCACCTGCCTTGCTTATTGAAAATGCAGGTTCCTGGGCTCTGCACCAGATCTCCTGAATCAAATGGAGAAGTTGGGAATCTGCAGTTTAACCATTTCCTCAGAAGATGTTGATACACTGAGATGACAGGTGTCCTTACCTTGGCTTGTGGGCTGATGCCATAGCTGGTGAAGGCATACTGCCACTGGGGCAGGCCCAGGTGGGTGATGAGAAGGCGGTAATAGGCGGTAAAGGTATCTGTGAGAAAATGCCAGTATAATGCACGGTCCAGGAACCAGATCTCAGTGTCTTGAGCTAATGCTGAAATAGCAAAGGAAATAAAAAGGAGAGCTTAACACTTTTCTTCTTTTAACCATCAAAGGTTATACTCATGATTATAAGAAATCTCAATAGAGAGAATATAAAATATATAAAAGTTCCCCTGTTCTTCCCCTTCTCAGTCCCATTCTCCAGTGGCCACTTTTACCAACTTCTTTGACATTCTTTAAAAATGTTTTGATAGCTCAGTCAGCTAATCAATCTTCTAGGCTCTGAAGATCTGGACATATAGCCACGCTATCCAACCAGCTGCTCCTTTCTGTGTGTAATCTGTACTCCCCTTCCTCATGGGCACATTCTGTGGTCCCAGCGTTCCTGATGGAGAAACTCTGAATGGCTTGGGCTTTTTTGAAGAGGTCCCTCTCAGTAAGCAAAATTACTATGAAAAACCATCATGAAGGAGCCAAGAGCCACTCGCTCCTGGGAATCCTGCCTGTGCTGTTGTGTGATGTCCTGGTTAAGTGGAAGCAGGCACTGTTGACCAGCTCCTCCTCACATCTGTTTCTGACTTTCTGGTCTTTCTATTTCAAGCCTGTCCTATTTCATCTGCTGTCTGGACAGTTATAACAGCTTTCTAAGTGGTCCCTATCATTGATCCGGAAACACCTTCATCTGAATCCTGCTATTCTGCCAACCAACCTCAACTGACTCCCCACTGTCTTCTACATTATGTCCACATTCCTATGCTTGGTTTTCAGAGCTCGGCGTGAGGGAGTAGTTGGTCTTCTGGCTTCAACTCCTCCTCACCCTCAGGTGAACAATGTGGCTCACTGAGTTGGAATTACTTTTCATTCTCCCCCAATCAGTTGTGCCTTCCCATGGCATGGCTTTTGCCCACTTGGTACTTTGCTTGTATCTAGTTCCTTCCCATAGTTCAAGATGCAGCTTGAAGACTACTTTGCAAAGATTCCTCCAGCTGGAGGAATCCTTTCCCCAGAGATAAATCCTGGAGTCTGTATCTTCTCCCCCACCAGAGAGCCACCTGCAGAGGACTTGGCCTTGGCCAGCTGTGTTTCACAGTGCCTAGGTTATAGAGGTTGAACTGTTGTTAGGGGGCAGGTAGCAGCTGCTGCTCAAGGGCGCACAGTCTTTTCTCCTGATTCCCCATCTTGAGCCTTGCAGTCTAAGTAATTCAGGTTTTTACTGTGGTTAATTGGCCTGGGTATATTAGTATAAAAGAAAGGCAAAAGATCATGTGTTTCCTGGATGCTTATCTATTGCATGAACCTGACCCAGGAGTTTATAACCAAAAGGACAATTTCTTTTAGTTTGTACTCCCTATTATCCTAATTGCAGTAACTGACAAATTAAGATAGATAAAAATACTCCAGTAATTAGCCTAGAGGGGAATGCTTAGAGAGGACCAAGGGGGTTTTTTGGGTTTGGGGACACACCTGGCAGCACCTCAGGAGGCCAAGGAAGTAGGTGTCTTTTGTGTGATGTCTGACAAGCAAGATCAGGAAAGGCCACAGTTAGGAGCATGCTTGTAAATGATTCTTACCTGGTTTTCCACTTTTGTAGACCAGGCAAACTTTTCCATTCCCATTGCATGAATCCAGCTCAAATATCACACTGCGAGAGTCAAAGTGAGGCTTCTCTGGCTGGTCCTCACTAGCTGCAAACCCAGAAGTTAATGGCAATGTTCAAACAAACTCAACTCAAACACGTACTTATATATCCAACTTTTCTACGATGAAAAAATAGGGGAAGAGCCTAATCTCAGATACGCTTAATGTTATTTTCAAATAAATCCTGTACTCTAAATGCCCTGGATCCCATTTGTGGACTAGGCCTTCTCCCTGGGCTTCCCTATTAGCAATAGACAATGTCAGAGAATCTGGGGAAAGGAGGCAAGAGGAAAGCAAACTGAACTTCTTGGGAGTGGGACCACATAAAAGCAATCTGAATGGCTTGATGCTGATATAACTTTTTTCCTTCTCCTAGGATGGTTTATTGTATAAAAATGGGTAACAGTCACAAGATCTAATCTCTCTTTCTATGCAATACCAGTGGAAAGCCCTCTGAGTCATGTAACTCTTATTCTCTTTAACGACTCCTTGGTAGCTGTGGGAGTGGATGTACCCTAATTTTTTTCTGCCATCCCCATTGATAGGCATTTGTCCATCATTACTCTGCTGTGAATGCTATAATAATCATCTCTGTACATGCCCTTCCTTATGTTCTGGTGCTTTCAGCATTTGGGATAGATTCCTACAGTAGAGAGGATGTTACCAGATTGCTTTTCAAAAAGAACTTTGTTTTTGAAAGATATTTTCAATGGGTATAGAATTTCAGGTTGCCAGTTTTTTTTTTTTTTTGAGTATTTTATCTTGCTTGAATTGTTTCCAAGGAGAATATGCTGTAGCCTTTGTATGTAATTTGTCTCTTCCCTTTGGCTGCTTTCAAGATTTTTCCCTTGGGCCAGGCATGGTGGCTCACATCAATAATCCCAGTACTTTTGAGAGGCCAAGGTAGGAGGAATACTTGAGGGCAGGAGTTTGAGACCAGCCTGGGCAACATAGCAAAATCCTGTTTCAACAAAAAACGTTTTTTAATGGAAAAAAAAAAAAGATTTTCCCTTTATTCTTGATTCCAAGCAATATGATAATGATGTCTCTTGGTACTGTTTATTTGTGTTTCTTGCTCTGGCTTATTAGACTCATTGGATATGTGGGTTTATAGTCTCCATCAAATTGGTCAACTTTTGAGTCATTATTTCTTCAAATGTTATTTTATGGTCCCTGATCTCTCTCTTCAGGGACTCTAATTACACAGACACTGTACCACATGCTGTCCTTCAGCTTACTGAGGCTCTTTTCCTTAAAAATAATTTTCCCTTTTTTGTGGCATTTGGATAATTTCCAATGTTATAAGTTCTCCCATCTTTTCTTTTTTCTTTTTGAGTTGGAGTCTCACTGTGTCACCCAGATGAGTGCAGTGGCCACTTCCGGCCACTGTAGCCTCAACCTGCTGGGCTCCAGCGATCCTTCCATCTCAGCCTTCCAAGTAGCTGGAACTACAGGCATGAGCGACCATGCCCGGCTAATTTTTGATTTATTGTAGAGATGGGGTCTCGCCAAGTTGCCCAGGCAGGTCTCAAACCCGCGGGCTCAGGCAATCCACTAACCTCGGCCTCCCAAAGCGCGGGATTACAGGCTGAGCCACTGAGCCCGGCTTTTTATATTTTCTTTATTTTTCCATTGTTAGCTTATATGTTCTTGTTCTCATTTAGGTTTTCTTTTCTGTCTTCTAGCAGTTTTATTTCTCTGGTTACGTTTTTTTGTTTTTTTTTTAAATAAAGATGGGGATCTCGTTATGTTGCCCAGGCTGAAGTACAGTGGCTGTTCACAAGTGCGATCATAGTGCACTAAAACCTCAAACTTCTGGGCTCAAGCGATCCTCCCACCTCAGTCTACTAAGTAGCTGAGACTACAGGTGCACACCACCACATCCAATTGATTATATCTCCTGATATTCCTTACTGATCAACCTCTCTTTGACTGCTGGGTCCCCAAAGAAAAGTCAGTAATTTTCTATTTAGGTTTAATGAGAGTTAGGTCTAGTTGTTGGAAAATCCTGGAAAGCATAAGCCCAGTAGGTGCCAGAAGCCCACCAAGTAGTTTTTATTCCCATGGGTATTAGGACAATGTGGTCCCTACCCCAGCTCAGTCCTTTTGCTGAGGCCCCTTGAAGCCTCTTTGTTATCTAGTCTACCTCAACTCTTCTAGCCTCAAGAGCATGGAGAAGCCCCAGCACTCACACATGTAGCCAACATGACCTTTTCCCTGTCCTTTGGGATTCAACAGATCTTTAAGTGACAAGCTCTTCCCAGGACCCAATCTTTTCCAGGCTTCGCTCCTGGACTTCTCTGGTACTATTTTCCAATTGCTTGTCCAACTGAGGGAGAAAGTCTTCCATCTCTTCTCTATGCCAGGATTTCAAGAAATCTGAGGTCCTACTACTGCCTGCCTACTCACTATTTATTCTCCCTTTCTTAATTAAACCCCAATTCTATCTGAGGAGCACATTCTGTCCAAGAGAAAGTACTCACCCTCTCAGACTCCCTTGCAACTCCAGGTAGCTATTTGACTGTTCTGGCCAATAGCTATTGGGAGGGGCTTCTGAGAAGACGATTATTTTCCTGATAAAAAGGGAGAGATTCTGCCAAGAGCCAGTTTTCTTTGCCCTTTGCCTTTTACTCTTCTTCTTCCTGATGGGAATGGAGACCCAAACACCAGAGGAAGAGCCCACATCCAAAGGCTGGGGCAGCAGAAGGCCAGAGGAGATGCTATCACAGACATTCTCCAGCAGCTACCCCAGCCTAGTTCCAGATTTCTTATGATGAGAAAAACAAGCAGCTAATTAGTTTAAACGCTGTATTTGCTATATGCAGCCAAACACAATTCTGACTGAAGAAATCCTCCTTTATCCGTACTTGCTCACAGGTTTTTATCAGTCATTGACTTATGGGCCATTTTACTCAGAAGTGGCAAAGAGCCTGGAGGTAGGAGTGGAGAAGGAAAGAGCTGTATTTAGACTGCCATGCTCCCTGAAGCCTCTGGACACCAGAATGTAAGTGACATTTACTCTATAACATTCATTCTTCACTAAGTATTCGTTAAGTGCCTACTGTGTGCAGGTACTGAACTGGGTGCTGGAAACAAAACAAAGATACCAACCCTGGCATATTCTTCATACCTTCCTGTGCATCATCCTCCAGGTCTGCCAGAGTCGGTGCATTAGGAAGTGAATACATGGAAGACTGGTTGAGCTGAGTCAGCTTTGAGATGCTGTTGATTGCCATGCTGCCCAGTGGAATGATGTGCTCTGCTGGAACACCAACGAGAAGAACTACATGGAGTAACAGTCTGGTTAACATGGTTACCCTAAGGGATTCTGCTTGGATAACCTAAGCCCAGGTATTGTTTGGTCCCATGGCTGAGGAATCTGATGGATGGTAGAAAGAACAGAATCACTTACTGCATATCCCCAAACACCAAACTTTCATGCAAAAAAACAGAACTGGGGGCCATGTGGAAGAGCTCCCACTGCATGCATTTGGGAGAAACTGAGGAACCTTTTAAAAGGAGATTCTCAAAAAGAACTGGGAAATCTGGGCTTAGGGATCCTGTTTGAAGAGTAAAGGATTTTAAAATGTTTTTGCTCCCTCTTTCCTTTCTTTAGCCAGTACTCTGCATAGTTACACTTTCCAAAGGAGCAACAGCTTTGCATGATATAATCTACACTTCTTGTTATAAGCTTTAATGATGAAAAACCTCTCCTTATTTGTCATGTTCCTTCACTCAATGATGAGAACTTGGCAGCCTTCTTGCTTGGTTCTAGTCTTTTGTGATTAGAGCATAAATAGAAAATAGGTAGACAGCACATTTGCGTTATGTGACTGATGAAGAAACTGGAAGGACTAAAGGCAATAAAGCAATTGGCATGCACACCACAGAATGCCCAAAGAGAAAAGATCACTAGAGAAGCAGATACCAGAAACTGCCCCTGCTGCCTCTTCCATCACTGACTCAGGCTATTCCGTAAATAATGAGTATGGTCATGGGGATAAGAAGACTGCAGTTGGGAAGATTAAAATGAAGAAGGTATTGCAGTCATGAACAGGGATTCCTTCATATTCATGACCATTTCTTCTCAGAAGCAGGCTTGAGAAGGGCTAGCCTGTCCTCATGTGGGCTGGGGAGAGGCTGCCACTCTGTTACTCTAGACTCCAAAGGCCATGGCCATGCCACGAGGGAAGGTTCTGATGCTGGGGTCAAAGATGGTTTCTAGGCCACAAGAGGATACGGTTGTAAGCTAAAAGTGAATATTAAGTGTTAATTAGTAAGCTATAAGAAGTACCTCTGGCTAGCTGTGCAAGACAGACAGGAAGGCTTGAGGAATCACCAAAAGGGAACTCAGGTTTGTAGGCAACGAATGGGATAAGTCAGCTCTGTTTTTTGAGTTGGGGGTCTTGCTCTGTCACCCTGACTGGAGTACAGTGACATAATCACAGCTCACCACCACTTCAAGAAGTCAGCTCTGTATACTTGCTATGCAACAAACATTACTGCATTCTTAGGGGCAGCAGGGGAGAGGTGTAAGCTAAAGAAGATCTGGGTATGTGGTTGAAGTTAGAGGCAACAAAAACCTATGGGGGGGATGGCAGGGCCAGAAAATTTGTGCCAGGAATGGGCTGGACTCCAGTTGCTAGACATGGTTTCCCAACTACAGAATTGTTTAGGAATCTTTGCCTACATGTACAGCACTGACTTTTGTGTCTATGTGGTACCTGCAATCACTGATATGCACAAAGTTGTGATTTCCCACATTCGCCCACAAATGTTTTGTCCTACACACATTTAAAGCTAAATATGACAGCTTGTGAATGGAGGCAGTTGGTGACTTAGGCTAAGGTGATGTGAGGGAGAGATGCAGTGGCTCTAGAATTAGACATCAGAGCCCTGAGGTCTTCATGATGGTGGGGGTAAAGAAGGGACCCTGAGAGAGACAAGCAGGCCCTCCCATGGACACCAGAGACTGTCACTACAGTTGACCCTGTGGGGTTTGCTCAAGATGGATTTTCTGCGCAGTGATTACTGTTTCCCTTCACCCCATTCCACCAGTTCTGTACCGCATGGGTGGTGGGGGGTGCAGCAATGATGGTATCTGTTGGCTTTGAGAGATCATCACAGCTTCTGGACATGGCACTTGAGGAGCACCCATGAAAACCCTCCAGATTCAAAGAATCAAATTCTGAGGCCCTCAAAATCATCCATCCAATCCTCAGCAGGAAAATGTTCTCCCACGGCACAGAGGCTGACTCACCATCCAGCTTCACACTCCATGTCATGTGGAAGCCATTGGTCATCAGGTAGAAGTTCTTCACATCCTCAGGCATCACACAGTTATTCTTCTAGAATCACGAAGCAGCTGAATGTTAGGTCAGGGCTGGAATCAGAGTACAGGGCTATGCCTTAAGGCACTGGAGACATGATTTACCATGTCTCTGATAATCACCTATACAACCCTATTAGCGAGTTCTGACAGTTCTTAGAAAGTAGCAGGATATTTCCAGTATTTCACATGGGCACCAAATCTTCCCAACTGGTGGTAGAGAGAACAAAGAAACAGTTTATTATCCTTTCAGGAGGTACTAGGAATAAGCCCTAAATTCTAAACAACTCACATCTGTGCACATGTCTTACTCTAACCAAGTAAAACCCTTGGAGTGTGCAGAAGGATGAGTTCTCCAATTCCTTTCCTGGGCCACTACATTAATTTCATAATACGGTTATAGAGGCAAAGAGCCAACCAGTTAATAACTGTCCAAACTTTTAGCTTAACTAGACCCTTCTGAGACATGATACTGACTACTGCTTATGTCAAGTTTGCTTTAGGTCATACTTGTCTGTTCTAGGTACCCAATGTGTGGGGAACTATAATGTAGCAAGGTGATCTGAGTTCAGTTCCCAACAATGCCTTGACCTTGAGCATGTCACTCTGTGAGTCTAGGCTTAAGAATAAACTCTATGACTGACTCTACTAAACACTGGAGATAATAGAGGGTAAGAACTTGACAAGAAAAGGCTATGAGATTATGATTTGCAGTCATAGTGTCTTCAAGAACTACAGGTGAGGTGATAACTTCAAGCTTGCAGGTGATTTTAAGCAATGTTTTTAGATTATTAAATGGATAACAGCTGACATTTTAACAAACAGATTTTTAATTTCTTTTATCTAAGAACTAAAATATGTATTCGGATAAATTTTTTTTCTCTCCACCATCTGTTCCCAATCTCACAGATGTGAAACTTGAGGGATTCTCAGACTTCCTGGGCTAATTTCTTTGTTTTCCTACTTAGTAAGTTATTTGGAGCTAAAGCTTGCTCCGAGTGCCTCCTTATGGCTACATTCTCTGTGCTTGCAGAGGAAAAAACATGCAGGCAGAGACCCCTTCTTCCACCCCCAGAACTCTTGTACAGGAAAACTGCAGTTGTCAGTGTTCTGACAAGGTTTTTGCCCCTTCTGTCACCCCCCAAAGGCCTGCATCCTCTCTGAGGTTTTGATCACTCGTGCCATCTAGTGGTGGACACAGGAACCTACTTTCTCACCAAGTCTGTCTTTCTTTTCTTTCTTTTTTTTTTTGGAGTTGGAGTCCCACTCTGTCGCCCAGACTGGAGTGCAGTGGCCGCTCCCGG